TCTTCACTCGAATCAGTTCTCGCAGTCATTTGTGGCCAAAAGCATCGCAAACAGTGTTGTCTCGCAAAGTGCCGCTCGTCTCAACACATCCCAAGACATGCCTCCAGTGACCATCAGACCAGAGGACGACATCCGCCACCATTTGGATCAACTCATAACAGGCAACAAAGTGGTGGTCTTCAGCACAACCACCTGTCCTTTCTGTGCGAAGGTTTGTCTCAATGTCTCAATGTGTGCGCCAATGGTGTGAATCACAGTCAAGTGAATGGTGTGATTGCAGGTGAAGGAGTTGTTCCGGTCATTGGCAGTGGACGTGGTTGTGGTTGAGTTGGATCAGGTGGACAGGGGTGTGGAGTTACGGGAGGCGCTGTCGGCTCGAGTGGGCCGTACGTCTGTGCCTCAGGTGTTCATCTCTGGCCAACACATTGGCGGTTGCGATGACACCCATAAGGCCAGGGATGACGGCCTCCTCACCAAACTCTTGACACAACACTCCTATGACTACGACCTGATTGTGATCGGCGGCGGATCCGGAGGTTTGGCCGCATCTAAGGTGAGACCAGACATACAGTGATGGAGTGATCGACTGATCGACTGTCTCGTTATGATTGATAGGAAGCGGTTAAGTATAACAAGAAGGTTGCGGTTCTGGACTTTGTTGTGCCCACACCTCTGGGCACCTCTTGGGGTGAGTTTGCATCACATGTATTGCTATCTATGGGTTAACTGACAATCGGCTTAGGATTGGGCGGAACGTGTGTTAACGTGGGCTGTATTCCCAAGAAACTGATGCATACGGCGGCCCTCATTGGACAGACCCTGAAGGACGCCCCACACTATGGCTGGAATATAGCCGGAGGTATGTTTGCTTTGCCACTCGCGGTGTCTGCGATGGTCTCACTCACTGTTGACTCACTTGTCAGACATCACTCATGACTGGAATCGTATGAAAGATGAGATCCAGAACTATGTCAAGTCTATTAACTTCGGATATCGAGTGCAACTCCGCGAGAATAAAGTCAATTACATCAACGCTTTCGGCTCTTTCCAAGACTCGCATACAATTAAAGTGAGTTTCCGTTGCTCTCGAGTCGTCTCTGTGTTTGTGTTTGTGTTTCACACTCTTGTCGGTCGACTCAACAGTGCGTCGATAAGAAGGGAAAGGAGACAACTCTGACGTCCGATAAGTTCATAATAGCTGTCGGCGAAAGACCCCGATATCCGACAGACTGTCCCGGAGTTAAGGAATTTGCCATCACTTCGGATGACTTGTTTTCTCTGCCGTATTCGCCGAGAAAGACATTAGTTATCGGCGCGTCGTATGTGGCGCTCGAATGCGCCGGTTTTCTACGGGGACTGGGATTAGACGTTACTGTTATGGTATGACTGACTGTCTGTCTGACTGACTGACTGACTGCCGTTCCTTTTCATGTCATATACTATACGAATAAAATTGGTTTGCATTTAACCCAAAGGTTCGGTCAATACTGTTGAGAGGTTTCGATCAGGAAATGGCGGAAAAGGCGGGCGAATATATGGCGGAAGAGGGCGTCAAGTTTTTACGGCCCTGTATTCCGGTGCGCGTCGAACAGCTCGAGGCCGGAGCGCCCGGAAGACTGCGCGTCACCGCCAAGAGGACCGACAATAACGAAGAGTTTGCTGAGGAATACAATAGCGTTCTGTTTGCTATCGGACGCGACCCCTGCACCGACACCATTGGACTCGAAAACGCCGGTATTTACACACATTGTCTACTTTTAGACCGCAATTGCGTGATATGTTGTCTAACTTATGATATTTGATGTGATTATTAAAGGCGTTATTAAAGAGAAAAACGGGAAAATCAAAACAATGAGTGAGAAGACAAATGTGGACAACATTTACGCCGTCGGAGACATACTCTACGGGAAGTTGGAGTTGACTCCAGTAGCCGTTGAGGCGGGCGTTCTGTTGGCGCGCCGTCTCTTTGGTGGCAGTAGTGTTGAGTGCGATTACATCAACGTTCCGACCACTGTATTCACACCACTTGAATACGGCGCCTGTGGTTACTCAGAGGAACAGGCCGTCCAAGAGTTCGGCGAAGACAACATCGAAGTATATCATCAAAAGTTCTGTCCATTCGAGTGGCAAAATGCAAGAGTGCCTCAGTTTGAACACCGCAATCGAAACGTGTGTTTCGCCAAAATTATTTGTTTGCGGACAGAAAACGTTGGTTTGATCTCATGTTTTAAATAATTGTAAACTTATCATATTTTTATGAAATATTAAAGGAACGGCTATTGGGTTTCCATTATTTGGGCCCTAATGCAGGTGAAGTGACACAACTGGTAGGCATTCCCCTTAAGATGAAAGCCACTAAAGGAGATCTCGACGCACTTATTGGCATTCATCCGACTTGTGCTGAGGTATGCTTTGCTTTCATTGTTTAATACTATACTTTCTATTTGATAGTACAGTAATTGTTATGTTTGATGATCTAAAGGTGTTCACAACCCTTGACGTAACTAAACGCAGTGGTCTGGCGCCTGACCTCAAGTCCTGCTGCGGTTGAGCTGAACTGTGCATCAAAAACGATAGCCATCTAAGAACTGTTGTCACATATCTATATAATCTAGACTTATATTTTATTCAATTTACTAATTTCTATTTTATATATCTTAATTTCAATTATGATTTTGTGTTTTGGTCTAAGGGGTGCCCTTATAATAATTATACGGCAATTACCTAGTATATAATTATAAAGGCGCCCCTTACGCACTTAGCAATGGCTAGTTTAATCAACTCTTGACAACAGTTATTTAATTAATTTTCTTTTTATTTGAGAGTTTTGTTTAAATGAAGGCTTAGTTTAAAATATCTTCTAAATGTAGACTAAACTAACCCTGATGATAATATCAAACTCGATTTCAATGTTTTTTAAAATAACAGTAGTTTAGTAAATTAACTTACGGTAATTGCAGGTATTATTACTATTACCCTATTACCGATATTTCACGTCACTAAATATGACAATATAATCCCTCAATTCTTGAACTACTGGCAAATAATTAATATTGACTTTTGGTAATTACATTGGTAGTAATATTGTATTACCGCTTATAAAGTTAATGCACATTTTTATCTATAAGTTGTTATAATTGTAACGTTTCATACAAAAAAATATGTTTGCAATACAATATCAATAAACCTTTGCATAATTATTATTACGATTATTTAAAAGCTCTTAATTTGGCCGAAGTTTTCATAAAACGTTTGCAGAGTTCCGGTTGTATGTCATCAAAGCCGGCCGTCAGGCAGACGTCATTCAAATTATTTGCCGCAAACTTGAGACAAAAGTTCTCCAATTCTTGTGAATTGTATTTTACTGCCGATGAGTACAATGCGAACGCGTTTTGCACTGATATGTGATTTTTGATAATTAGAAAGCATTTGTCTCTGAGGTCGTCCTCGCAGTAAGAATTGGCCAAATCGTAGAGTTCAATGGCGTCCTCCAGACGGATGTCCACACAATTGGTGTAAATGTATTTAATGAATGAATAGTAGACGTTATACGAGTATATATTGATCTCTATTTCAGATGTCTCTGATTCAGACCAGTGCTCGGAAAACATGGACCGGAAGTGCTCACAACGGATCCGCAGAATGGCTTTGTGCGCGTATATGAACTTATTGTCGATTTTGAATCTGAATGATACACACAATTCATGAGTACCGCTAATATGTAATTATGTAATTGTAACCTAACCTCCTAAGTTAGGAGTCCTAACCTATCAGTATATACCGTACAGTACAAGCACTGCATTTCAATAAATACCTGAAATCGCTTAACTCGGTCTCATTGAAGGCCCTCCGCATGCAGTCGACCAGTGGGTTAACAGAAGGTCTGTCGTCAATATGGATGGGTTTGTAAGTAATCTTACGTTTGGAGTAAAACGAGAAGATGTCGTGCATTGACTCGAGTGGTGTTTCTCTGGGAGTTGTGATCACTTCTGTATCGCATTCACCCCAAACCATACAGTTCCCAGTGGTCTGACTCACAGCCACTGATATACTACTCAATGGATGAGAACCAATATCTGAGAACTTATTACCAGTTATGATCTTAAAGGGCAGGTTCTGGTTCATTTTGTTGCCGTTTCCTATTTGTCCGAATTGGTTGCACCCAAACGCATATATGTCTCCATCGGTCGACAGCAATAAACTGTGATATTGACCACAAATGACTCTCTTTATGATAACTCCATTCATTATATTAATTTTTATGGGAACCATTTGACTGATATCATTGCCTACAAATATATCAATACAATCATTATTAACACATCATGTCTATTGTGTTGCTTCGTATCTTTGTCTATACAACAGTCCACTATTGGACACAATAATATCGGCAATTATACCAAATTAGTCTTATATTATACTATTCTAACATTGATATAACAATAAATTAAATTGGTAAATAAAGATATTGAAACTAAATTATAAATAACATGGATACATTTATATTCTTTCTCCAAGAGTTGCATAAAATAGTATATTATTGACAGTACTTTATTAATATAATTAATTATACAGTACAGAAGTAGGTCTAATCACACTCGTATATCACATCGGTAATTATAATGTAATATTGTACTTGCATATAATTAAGGATACTAAGGGTGAAATATTTTATAAAAACCTTAAATATTCAGTAAATTTCACTAAAATATTTCAGCTGAAAATAAATTTCTATAAATCTAAAACTTTATCCAATTTGGTGTTAAACTTATAAATTATTGAAAGCCCTTTTAATTTGAATGCTTCTATCATAGTGTAAAAGATGTGATCAGAGATTACGGTATAATTAAATTCAATTCTAAGTTATCCATAGGTTATCAACACTGGAACTGTAATTTGCCTCACTTTCTCATCACTTGACAACTCTTTTTGTGGTTCAAGCAATGGGACAATCAATCAATTATTATCATAATCTACTCATTTATTGCTCTAAAAGTGTCCGACAAAAGAGGTCAACAGTAATAAATAGAGGAGTTTAACAAACAAATAGATATTGAAATTCAATAATTGAATACTGTATGATTTGAATAAAATACTAATATTATAATGTGATGTGAACTAACCCAGACCCAATTCGCCTTCACTGTTATAGCCCCATCCAAACACATGTCCCTCTTTGGTGAGTGCCATAGAGTGGTAATAACCGCATGAAATCTGCACCACATTCTCGTTGTCAATGCCCTTTACCTTATGAGGTGTGGATTGAATGTCAAAATTGTTTCCGTTGCCGATCTGGCCGTAGCTGTTGTCGCCCCAGGAGTACACCTCTCCGGTGGCGGTGAGTGCGAGCGAGTGGTCGTACCCACAGCTGATGTCGACAATACGTTTGCCGATGAGTGCATCGATGGTGTTGGGCCGGTTGCTGTTGGTGGTGGTGCCGATGCCCAGTTCGCCGTTGTTGTTGTACCCCCACGAGTAGATGTCTCCGTTGGCAGTGAATGCGATCACATAATAACCGCAATAAGCAATACTTGCGATCTCTTTGTAACACAACTCTTCGAGTCTCGTGGGCTCCTGTATGGGATTGTTGTGACCCAAACCCAGACACCCGTACTTATTGTTGCCGAAGGCATACACGTTGTCGTCTTTGGACACAATGATCACCTCATTTCCCGACTCTCCGAAAATACAGACCAGTTTGATGTTCGCCACAAAGTTTGGCCGCAACTTATGCAATACCACCCAATTTGCTATGTTTGGCATCACTTCTCAACTCCAAATCACACTTCACTTTATTTGTTTCAAAACCACATTTACACTCAAGTCTTTACTTCACAAAAATTATATTTTCCAAAATTATTTCATACAACAAATGTTTAGTTTAGAAAATATGATAAAATACAGATACAGTTATGACAGTTTCAGCACTCATACACTAAATTTTGACATTAAATTACTCAATACACTACATTTAATTCAAGTATATTATAACGGGATTAGACCATTAATGTACTTTTCCTTATTTGCATCAATCAATAATTTTAATCAAGACTATTGATAAAACTTTTATATTAATAAAAATGATAAAACTTTGAGTGTCTGTTCAAGTCTTATGATCTGATACCGGTAATACTATACAATCGTAGTGTTTGTGTACTTTTTAGTGAATATTTGGAAAATAATTTTAATAGAGAGTAAGCACTGGTACAGGATTATAATGTATACATGTAGTATAGATGATTAATTATTAATATAGCAAGTTGTGGTGATTGATTTTAAGAATTTCGTTTAAATATAATCATAGCCAATATAAGGAATATAATACCGGTGCCCACATTCAGCACAAAGCCATGAAACACGTATTGATGGTATAGATTCCAACCCCGAAGCATAACATTCCTTAAGGACTCGGTTGGCATCGCTATAGGACTATAGTATAGGATTTGTCTTAAGTTGGGCTCAACTAATTCAAAGGGAAATATAGCCCCCGATGTGAAGAGTTGGCTGAATGTGATGAAAATGGATATGAGGACCGCCACAAAGCCCTCGTCCACTATTGACGAGATTAGTAAGCCTTGAAAGTAATAGAGACATAGAGACATGTGTTACAATTGTTCACTAAACCATTACATCTTATATATAACAGGCCAACCATTCCCGGTGCCTTTTGCCATACATACCGATAGCTATGGCATTAGCCGCCTGTGCCATCACTAGAAACAGAATCAATTCAATTGAACCATAATTTGTGATTTGAAAGACAATAAATGAAATGATAAGCATTAAAATGATTTGAATGAAAGACATGAGACAATTGGTGACAAAGTGTGATATAAAGACCAACTGATGGCCAACACCGGCCACTAATGAGCGTTCAAAGAGACCGTCTTTGCGCTCTTGAATCAGAAGTTGTGAAGACAGCGAAACCTTTGAACGAAATGCAGTGAACGACTTGAGATCAATTCAGATTATGTGAGGCATACCTGCGATAAGTACATGAATGATATGAGATAACCGGGAAGTAAGAAATCGGATAATTTGGAGTTTTCGGCATAAATAGTCTCAACCACTTGAAGGGGGGCTTCAATTCGACTCAAATTCTTTTCCATATAAATATCTCCCATCAGTTCATATAATGTTAGCCGCAATGAGTCTATTAAGCCATTGGCATACAAAAAGTTGGTGTTATCTAACCATAAGTGTAAAGAACTTTGAGACAATGTCTCGTTATCGATATCAGGGTCCTGTGCGGCGGCTATCCTGGCGTCCAAAGCATTGGTATAATCCTTTTCAAACCAAAGAGCAGCCGTAACGTAGCCCTTGTCCACAGAATCAATAGCTGAGGCCAGAGATGTAAAGTTAATAGGCTGTACATAATAGGCGTCCACCTGTTTGATTGAATTCAACAGTCGACTGCTATAATAGGGCGTCTCCTCCTCATTATATACGGCCGCTTTGATCTGATTGAATGGACACACATTTCATAAAGCATTTGAGACAAACATTTGACATTTCAATTCAATATCAATTCAAATCACTCACTGGTATTGAATCCCTATCGTAGAGCACACATAGGATGAGTGCCTGAAAGGCGGGTATCAGGAATATAAGGAACGACACGTTAAACTGTAAGAATTTGCTGAAATTCTTTCGCACCAAAACCATTAAAATCCATAAATTCAATAATAAACTCCTATTGATTTTGTGGCCAACATTTGTGTTCATTTTACGCTCTTTTAAATCATTTGAATTATTATTCAAATCGTTGTTTTTTGGCGTAATCTTAATGTCAAAGCTATTATTGTTAGCGTTGTTATGATTACCGCTTTGAATAACTTTTGTTTCATTTTGGCATAACTTAAGGAAAACATTTTCCAAATTAGCTTCTCTATACTTAAGCAGCAAATCGTTGGGAATGCCTTCTTCCATAAGCGTACCGTTCCTCATGATGCCGACCATATGTGCCAAAGCAGCCTCTTCTATATAGTGGGTGACGATTACGATACTGACCCCTTCGGCACAACAACTGTGCAAATAATTCCATATACTGTTCCCCAACAGAGGGTCTGTGCCCACAGTGGGCTCGTCCAGAATGACCAGTTTGGGACTGTTTAGGAAAGCCAACGCCAGTGACACCCGCTTCTGCTGTCCGCCCGACAACTCACCAATCATTTGATGGTCTTCTGGTAGTTGTAGTATTGATGACAACAAACCCTTTCTATTCAATAATCAAACATATATTTACCAAATGATAATGATCATTTATCTAGCAAAATAATGCAGTGAAATACATAACGTGTTATATTCACAAATATTTATACAATAGTATAATACTACAAATTTACATATATTCAGTAAATAATTGGTTCAAGTTCTATCAAACCAAACTATAGTACTATAGTATAAGATTATCAAGTACCTTGATACAAGATTAATCTACGTGTCAGTAAATAATGTTATGTTTTAAAATCAATCATTTTAGATGTTTATAAAGGAGCATTCTATGCTTGAACATTTAAAAATATCCTTGGAGATATAATATAAAACAAGAAAATGATCATTTGCTTCACTAGTCTATAATATATTATGTTTTAATATATTGGGCCCAAATCAGAACTCATTTATAATACTTAAGGATTATATAATTATAAAAAGTATTATAAAATTAACAAATACAATTATTTAACAAATATAATCAAGTACTAATACTGTATTAACTATTATACAGTATTAGTACTTGATTATAAAGTAAAGTATTTGTTATTATAATAAATAATAAATTGTTATAGGATTAGTTTACTGTACCTTTCGTTAAATTTTTTAGTAGACATGCGATAAATATTAGCGAAATATATTAAGGTCTGACTGACAGTAAATGACAAACAAAGGGCTGTGTCCTGAGGCATATAACCAGTGATCGGATTGTTAACTCCCGGCTGACTGTCCAGTACTGTAATGGAGCCGCTGTTGGGCTTAATTCTGCCTAAAATTAGCCGCAATAGAGTGGTCTTTCCGGCACCACTCGGACCCAACAGACCATAGATCTTGTGTTCGGGAATTCGGGCGTAAATATGGCTTAAAATGGATTGTGTTTTATATCCAAACGAAACGTCGTTCACTGCAATGGCAGTCATTTTGACACAAATTGTTAGAAATCTTATACTGTATTAATATCTGTTCAGTTATTGGTGTTTAAAGAAAGTCATCAAACACAATGAATTTGTTTAGTATGAATGCAAACTTTCATTGCCTTTTNTGGTTATTATTAGAAAGACATAAAGTTTTAACTGAAGGGTGAGAAGTGGTTTAGATTTCTTAAATACAATTACCGGTACTTTGTAACTAATGCTCGAAATATGTCATCAAATACTACATTAGACTTAAAGAAACAAATTATTTAAAAGAAAATGCTCTCAAATTGTAGACAATCTGATATATTATTTTTGAAAATTTAATTTATTGAGTATATATAGTACAAAATTTCAATTTAATAACAATTATCTGTTTATTGTCTAAATATATTATGCATTCAATTAAAATAATGGAATAACATTTAATTCCTAATAACACTTATATGTGAAATAAAACAAACATTTGTTGAAAAATTTTCAATTTTAAGAAATTGAGTAACTATAAAACTATAATTTAAAACGCAAGTATAAAAAATTAAACCATACAAATGCAACATATTACATGAATTGTCTTTGAGATTCAATGCAAACATTGTTTAAAATTTAAAATAATTTAAACCTTAAATATAAGTAATAAACTTACAGATACAGTACTGTACTGTATATACTATATAGTGTAGTAATAAATAATAAATAAATAACTGGAAAATATTTCTCTTACAATAAAATGAAGCTCTGATGGGAGAGACGGACAAACATTTGAAATGTAATAAGTATTACAGTTATATAAACCTTATTATTATTGCCGTTTGCCTTGGTATTTAAATAACACAATTAACTACGGTACTAGTAAAAGTCATATAATAAATTAGTACCAGTATATATGATAAATGTTTTGGCATTAACAGTAATTGGGCATCATACGGTATTCCCGTATAGATTATAAGTACATATTATACATTTAATATGGGATTAATACCCGGTATGAGATTAGTGTTATGTAATAGAGACTGAGGGCCAGTAGTTGTTGTATTGGACTGATTGGACTGATCCTCATTATGCAGTCGAGAGATCATAGTCTCGAGCTCTTGAAGGCCACGTTCGGAGCGCTCGAACTTATGGGACACTAATGTCCGATAGAAATGAGCGGCAAAACCAATAAATATGACGCCGACGGGTATTAATATGATAATAGCGGACAGGGCTGCCACCCGACCCTTTGAGCCCATCTCCCAGAACTTGACGTAAAAAAGGATGGCCAGTTCGATGAGGAACAGGAATATACCAAACACTGTGCTGAAAGCCCACGCAATCTCTATATATAAATGCATCCTTTCGTGCGGAGACTCATTCACCTGTCGTTCAAACAATCAATCATTTAATCATTAATTACAATCAATTGACTCATAGAAACACAATATAATTAATTGTCAATCATTTATATTACAAATAATTTGCAATACATTTGCTTTAACTACGGAATAATCTCAAGTTTAAACCATAATAATCAATCACATTACGATATAAAATAAGATTTAACAAATTAAACACATATACCGGTAAATACTATTTGCTAATAGAGTATATACGGTACATACAGTGTATGATATGGTAATTGGATAATACATGGGGTATGGTATGTGTCATAATACCGGTATAAGAGACCAATTGGTTGCAAATATGAATACAATTGATGACAAGTGTATAGCATTGGATACAAACCGCTGCCAACCCGTGAATAGAGGCGACTGCCTCCACATTCGGCAGAATACATGTGGAGATCATAAGCGCCAACATGTGGACGGACACCAAGAGTGTGGTGCACACAGCAAACGCCACCAACAACTCGAGCGGCACCGGACTCTCACTGTCCTTCACATTGACCTGCATCTCCACCATCGCTATCTATATGCACGAGACATACAAGACGTGGTCATTGAGTGGACACAACAGTCACGACAGACATACAGACCATCGCGAAGCCGGACAAGAGAGCGGATGTGCGGGAACTGGCCTTCAGCTTAGCTCTGGCCAAATGCAGGCGTCTCCACGACAGGGCATTCAAGTGGTGCTCCGGACGAGACATCTGTCGCGCCAACGATGTCACCATCACGTCAGACAACTGGTCTCCTCGTGCGCTCCGATCACTCGCCACCACCGACCGGTGCGCACCCGAAGACACCACTGGAAGCGTCGACAGCAATGAATACTCGGAACCGTTAGTCGGGTGCATGGGTTGAGTGACAGCCGGTGCTCGATGTGGACACTGCGGACACTGCGGAC